ACGTCTCCGTTTTCAATATGTTCTTTGTATGAATAGGAGCCAAGAACGTCCTCCTGAATCCCTTCAGGAGTCATTGTTTTAATGGTCTCCATGGAGGCCTGCTGCTCTCTGATCTGCCTGTAGGTGGTGCTGGTCTGGTGAGGCCCGACCACGTGCTCCGACTCATTGTTGTTCTCGTAGACCGCCTCGTTGTTCAGGTACGGTGGATCCTCATCGCGGTCGAGGTCAGTTCTGTCCTGGAGGAGGGGGTCGTCCGAGGGTTCAGGGGTCGGTAAATCTGAGCAGATGTCCCGCTCCGCCTCGACCTCCGGGAAACTGCCCTCGTTGACCTGATTGGCCACACACGAGCGTGACAGAGTGGTGGTCCAGTGGACGGTCTCTTCCTCCTTCACGGTCAGGCGGACCCTCATCTCCACCGTCATGCTGCCGTCCTGGTTGACCCTGAAGGACTTCTCGATGTCGTCCTCTGACGGCAGCGTGCAGTCCTGACCCTCGGCTCCGTCCACGACGCAGGTGTCGACCTCCGTCCCCGCCAACGACTCCGGCATGTGGCTGGACTCAAAGTCCGCAGAGTTTGCCGGGTCCGTGGGAAGACGGCGGTCCAACGAGCTTTCCGCAATGGAGCTGTGGATCCGGTTGACCATGTAACTCTCCGACGACGGAGAGAAAATCCTGGACTGGGAACTGAGTGAAAGAGTCTTCTTCGTTCCTTTAAGAAAAAAGGAGAAGGAAAAACAGGAGTTAGACAGAGCTTCAACAGCTGACGTGATGATGTCACTGGATGTGGGTCAGGTGTGGTATTATCTGTCGTAAGCACTTTCCCAGTCTTCATCCCATGAGTGCAGGCAGATTAGCGACGGCGCTGAGCGAGTGCCGTTTGAACCAACGTCTGTTGAACCTCCACAGCCCAAACTCTGCACCGTTTGGTTCAACTTACGGTTTAAAGACCTGAGTTTCTTCAGACTCTTCCTTTTGTTAGAAACTCTGGTCGGAGCCGGCGATTTCTCTGCGCTGTAGTTAGCGGACTTGAAGGGTTCTCTGCCCGAAGCCACTACAGTCCCAGAGCACATGATCAAACCTGGGAGACCGTCAACCTGCAACGGCAATGAAAACAAAACAAAAAAAAACGATATAAAACTGTCACATGTTCAGAGGGAGTTTCAGGAAAAATTAGTAAAAGCTAATTATCGTTCAGTTTTCGGAGTTTCAGGAAAAATGAGTAAAAGCTAATTATCGTTCAGTTTTCCTGCTGGTTTATTTTTTAATATTGTGTTGTGTTTGGATGTAAACACATTCATTTGTGCTGATATCGTTCATTAAAGTCAGGAATAATTGTCAAATCTAGTTTGTAAAAACCCGTGCTGCGTTTAAAGACATCGCTGTGAGCTCAGAGATCCAACTGACCCACAGCCTTACACTATCGTATCCCAGAATGCCTTTCAGGGTATTAGGTGCAGGTGCCAAAGGAGCTTAACACTTTCTTTTCTCTGCTTGTGTGACAGTTATTTACAGCCGGGGCTTAAGTCGACCACGTTGATCAAATATGAAGCATAACTGGTCGCTTTGAACTGGAGGATCGGAGATTTTAACACAACGTAAACGTGAAATATTTATATGAAAGAGAAGAAAGTCAGAGATGTCGGTAAATCTACTTCCTGTTGTTGTTGTTGTTACCAGAATTTCAAGATGTGAAATAATACATCGCTCTGTTGCCGTTTTCTTGGTTTTGTGCTAAGCTAATGCTGTAACGAGTGAGCAGGCACAGAGGCATTAAGAACAAATCTGTCGACGCTAGCTCTACGCTGCTGTTTTTGTTCCAGCAATAATTTGGAGACAGTCCAGCTCGCTTGCTAACAGCCAAAAACTAGCATTATGCTAAGGTTACCAGAGGTCGTTTTATAGTTCATTCGTATATTTTTAACCAACTTCCGCGTCCGTACGACACACTCACCCGTCGGCCGTCAGGTGTGTGAAGTTTGACCACATGGAACTGCATCAGCTCTGAGACGTGGTCCAGGATGGAGCTGAACGTCGGCCAGCTCCTCCTGTGAAGAACCACCGTGCGTCTCACCGCCGGTTCTCCGTTGCGGAAAACCACCAACTTTTTCGGGGTCCGCAGCACCGCCTGCTGGTGTCTGTGAACGCCGCGGTCGGGGAACCGTCGGATCTGCTGCACGGTCTGACGGCGGGCGCTGACGGGCCTGGCGTGGTACCACGGCGGCAACTTCTTCCTGGCTTTGGTCAGGTTGATGGGCTTGACTTTTCGGGTGTCAGAGCAGATGTAGGACTTCCCGTCTTCCAGTTGGTCCAATGAGCAGACGGCGTGGAGCCCCCGGGGGGTGCTGATGTTCCTCACCCCGAAGGGCAGAGGAACCTTCTTGGAGAGGCTGTCCAGGAGGGCGTCGAAGGTTTTGAAGGTGCGGTTGTTGATGACCATCCTCAGACCGTTGAACTGAGCGTCTCCACTCTTATAAAAACACACTCTCTTGGACAGGACGTGCTCTTTGACCCCCGGCTCTCGGTCGTGGAGGATCCTCTGATTGGTCGGACCTGGAGGGTTCATTGTCACGTTTATCTGGCAGAAAAAAAAACAAAACAAAAACCAAAACAACTGTCTTTAGTTTCTGACACAACAGCGCCATCATGTTAAAAACAGCTGAATGACGTAGTTTGAACATATGTTGTTGACTGTACGCCACCATCAGGTGACATCAGGTAACATCAGGTAACTTCATTGAGTTTTTGCTAAAGCTGCCACGTGATTTAACCGCCTGCTGTTTCTGTTCAACAAAGATCCAGAAATTCACATGAAATAATTTAGAATATTATCAAATTAAACACATACAACGTTATATGAAATGTAACGAATACAATTTATATATAAATATAGAAATATAGAAATATATTTATATATTTATATATAAATATATAAATATATATATATTTTTTTTATATATATATATATGCCTTTATATATATATATAAAGGCATATATTAATAACAATTATTAAAAACATACAAATAAAATGATTCACACTGATGTCTGACAAAAGTAGAAAAAAATAAAATAATAAATTTAAATTTTTTAAAAAAATTTTTACCTTATGACTGAACCTTGTTCTGTCTTATATTGTGCCAAAAATCAATTTTATAACAAAACTATTAATATTAAATTAGTCATTACGACATATATTCTAAATCAACAGCAAAAATAATTCAAGAAAATCAGAATAAAAAAATCATTATACAAAAATATAATTAAAATTCTTACACATTTAGATTCTGTTTTCTTTTTTAAAAAATTTTTCTTAAATTTCAGAACAAATTTTTTAAATTATTTGATTAGTGATTGATTTTAAAAAAGTGCTTGAATTTCAGCTGCTGGAAAACAATCTGAGCCTTGAATTGTGTCCTGGTGAAATACACAAATACACAACACAAATACACAACACAAATACACAACACAAATACACAACACAAATACACAACACAAATACACAACACAAATACACAACACAAATACACAACACAAATACACAACACAAATACACAACACAAATACACATCTAATATTATAAATAAATAATTTAAAATGAACGTCACAGATGAAACTGCACTTTTAGTCTCGGTCGGTGAAGCAGATTTCTGTCCACGATAAATAAATAAACTCTGACACTAACCCTTTAATACTTTTCAGGGAGGATTAAAGAAATAAAAGCTGAAAATGTAAAGAAATAAATCCAGATTTGTTGAAATTAAAACGTCCAAAGGCCTCGAATGCAACACAGCTATTCATCAAAAACCAGTCAATAAACCAAACAAAACCCTGTAGAAAAAAAAAAAATAAAATAAAAAGTTACATTTATTCCACAGTTTGGGTTTGGATTGAACTCACCTAAATCGACATCATCACATTCCCGACTGTTGGGAGAACAACTTCCATGGAAGGTTGTTCCGTGCTGTCCATCCTGACTGCAGCAGCCGCCGCCGCCGCCGCAGCCACCGCGCAGCAACAGTTTATTTCTGGAGACGCCATCGCGCTTAATTTGCTTAATCTTTGCTCAGAGTTAATCTGTCAGGACGAGTGAAGCAGAGCCGGGAAAATCCTGCTGGGAAAAGTATGTCCAACCTTGGAGCTGGACCAAAACGTGGACAATATTAATAATAATAATAACAACAGTTATAAAGAACCAGAGGAAATTAAAATCCTGTCTTTGAGAGTTTTTTTTTTGTTCTAATAAAAACATATTATTTTAATCTAAGAAATATATATATATATATTTACAGCGTACCTTCCGTGTTCTGTCACTTCCTAAAACCTTCCTTGTTTGAAGTGGACTGGAGTCGAGCTCCGACCAACAGATGGTCAGGAGGAGGCGTGTGTTTGTAACAGTCAGGGCTGTAATCTGGCCCAGGCCGTCTTTGGATTATAAGGATTAAGGTGTTGGTCAGGTCCAGGTCCAGGTCCAGGTGTTTTCACCTCCTTATCTAACTCTGAATCTGAGGAGGAACCAAACCTCAACATCTTAGTCCAAGAAAAAGGAAAATTCAGATTATTAGTCCTGTATAACAGTATTTCTACATTAATAATAATAATAATAATAATAATTATTATTATTGATAATGATATATTTTAATCATGATTTATTTTACACTATTATGTTTTATTTCATTCCCTTTGGTTTTTCTTTTTACATGCAGGGACAAAATTAAATTAAAAAAATAAAACTCAATCCCTCTTCTGTGGCTACTGCAGTACAGTATTACAGTAATACTGCAGTAAAACTATGAACTAAAAATTAAATTTGATGTTACAATTGAAGAACATGATTATTAAAGGTCACAGAGTAGAAAAAGCAGAGTGAAAGTCTGTTATTTAGATTATTAATATTGTTAATATTATTGTTATTTTTAATGTAAATATTCAGTCTTTTGCTCCATGTATAAATTTCAATGTAATTTAATAATTTATTTTTTTTAATTTATCATTGTAAATAATAATAATGATAATAATAATGATAATGATAATGATAATAATAATAATAATAATGATAATAATAATAATAATAATGATAATAATATAAATACAAAGTAAATACCCATGTGTAACACACACTGCGAGTTGCGTGTATTTTTGTAGGTGAGTATTGTGTGTAATACTGTAGTAACAAAAACACAGACACCGTTTTAGCCGCGACACAAATACACGGGTAATAAAATAGTCCTTGTTCCAGAAATAGCGTTAGCTTCAGCAGGCTAGATTAGCCTGGACGCTAATACCCGGGGCATTAGCCTGTCAACTTTGTCTTCAGTGTCACGGCTTGTGTAACAGATGTGGCCCAAAGTGGGGGCAGGGACCATCGGAGTGGGTCGTTCCTCCGTTAGCCCCGGGGCACCTGGAGCGAGCGAGGGAATCGCACCGACGCTCTCGGGTTTCTGCCAAAGTGATGCCACTGGCCGTGTTTGGGTTACAGCTGCACAAGTCCCACAGGCTATGGCCGACGTGGGCCGTATAGGAAAGAATTCAGTAAATGTCCCCGAACCAGAGGGATCGTGACC